TTCAATGCAATGCCCATCAAAATCTCAGAAAAATTCTTCACAGACCTTGAAAGAATGGTAATCAACTTCATATGGAAAAGCAAAAAACCCAGGATAGTCAAAACAATCCTGTACAATAAAAGAACTTCTGGAGGCATAACAATCCCTGAATTCAAACTCTACTACAGAGCTACAGTACTGAAAACAGCCTGGTATTGGCATAAAAACAGACAGGAGAACCAATGGAACCGAATCAAAGACCTGGATATTAATCCAGACACCTTTGAACACCTGATTTTTGACAAAGAAGCAAAAATATCAAATGGAAAAAAGAAAGCATATTTAACAAATGGTGCTGGCATAACTGGATATCAACACATAGAAGAATAAAAATAGATCCATATTTATCACCATGCACAAAACTCAAGTGCAAATGGATCAAACACCTCAATATACAGCCAGCCACACTGAACCTCATAGAAGAGAAAGTGGGAAGTACACTTGAACACATTGGCACAGGCGACCACTTCCAAAATATAACCCCAGTAGCACAGACTCTGAGAGAAACAATTAATAAATGGGACCTCTTGAAATTGAAAAGCTTCTGTAAAGCAAAGAACATGGTCAACAAGACAAAATAACAGCCTACAGAATTGGAAAAGATATTCTCTAACCCCATATCAGACAGAGGTCTGATCTCCAAAATATACAAAGAACTCAAGAAATTGGTCATCAAAAGAACAAATAATCCAATTAAAAAATGGAGTACAGACCTAAACAGAGAACTCTCAACAGAGGAATCTAAAATGACTGAAAGACACTTAAGGAAATGTTCAACATCCTTAGTCATCAGAGAAATGCAAATCAAAACAACTCTGAGATTCTATCTTACACCTGTAAGAATGGCCAAGATCAAAAACACTGATAACAACTTATGCTGGAGAGGATGTAGGGAAAAGGGAACACTCCTGCATTGCTGGTGGGAATGCAAGCTGTTACAGCCCCTTTGAATGTCAGTGTGGCGATTTCTAAGAAAATAAGGAAACAACCTTCCTCAAGACCCAGTAATACCACTTTTGGGTATATATCCAAAGGATGCTCAACCATGCCACAAGGACATGTGCTCAACAATGTTCATAGCAGCATTGTTTGTCATAGCCAGAACCTGGAGACAACCTAAATGCCCCTCGACCGAAGAGTGGATAAGGAAAACGTGGTACATTTACACAATGGAGTACTACACAGCAGAAAAAAATAATGACATCTTGAATTTTGCAGGCAAATGGATGGAGCTAGAAAACATCATTTTGAGTGAGGTAATCCAGACCCAGAAAAACAATTATCACATGTACTCATTCATAAGTGGTTTTTAGACATAAAGCAAAAAAAAAAAAAACAGCCCACAAATCACAATCCCAGAGAACTTAGACAACAATGAGGACCCTAAGAGAGACATACATAGATCTAATCTACATGGGAAGTAGAAAAAGATAAGATCTCCCGAGTAAATTGGGAGCACGAAGACCTTGAGAGAAGGTTGAAAGGGAGGGGAGAGGCAGGAAGGGGAGCAGAGAAAACATAGAGCTCAATGAAAATCAATTAAAAAGAATATTTTAATATATATGAGAATGGGAGGAGAAAAGGCCCAAGTTAAAATTTGATATTCATTTATGATTTATATGCCTTAGTCTTCCATTGAAGGGCATCTAGGTTGTTTCCAGGTTCTGGCTATTACAAATAATACTGCTATGAACATAGTTGAACAAATGCTCTTGTCATGTGATAGGGCATCTCTTGGGTATATTCCCAGGAGTGGTATTGCTGGGTCCAGGGGTAAGTTGATCCCGAATTTCCTGAGAAACCGAAACACCGATTTCCAAAGTGGTTGCACAAGATTGCATTCCCACCAGCAATGGATGAGTGTTCCCCTTCCTCCACAGCCTCTCCAGCAAAGGCTATCATTGGAGTTTTTTATTTTAGCCATTCTGACAGGTGTAAGATGATATCTCAAAGTTGTTTTGATTTGCATTTCCCTGATTGCTAAGGAGGTTGAGCATGACCTTAAGTGTCTTTTGGCCATTTGAACTTCCTCTGCTGAGAATTCTCTGTTCAGTTCAGTGCCCCATTTTTTAATTGGGTTAATTAGCATTTTAAAGTCTAGTTTCCTGAGTTCTCTATATATTTTGGAGATCAGACCTTTGTCTGTTGCGGGGTTGGTGAAGATCTTCTCCCAGTCAGTAGGTTGCCTATTTGTCTTGGTGACAGTGTCCTTTGCTTTACAGAAGCTTCTCAGTTTTAGTAGGTCCCATTTATTCAATGTTGCCCTTAAAGTCTGTGCTGTTGGGGTTACACATAGGAAGCGATCTCCTGTGCCCATCTCCTGTAGGGTACTTCCCACTTTCATATGCCTTAGTCTGAATGTAAACTCATACATTTTTAATTACATGTTTTAATGCATAGGTATTTTTACTCTAACTTAGCACATGAGGTTAGATGTGGACTTTTGTACATGTGGAATCAGGAATTTTCAAACTTCAGATTTTCAAATTAGAAGTGTTCAACCTATAACTTGAACAATCAAACAAAAATGTCAGATTCCCTTTTCCCTCTCTTCATTAAAATGTCCTTGCTTTTGCATGCTCAGGATTTCAAATCAGGAGATCAGGTTTACTATGAAGGTCATGGTCTCCAGACAGGAAAGCCCTATTCTCAACCATGGATATACATTAAGTCACCAGAGGAGCTTTTACAAAATGGTGGCTCCTTAGCCCCAGCTAAGCTGCAGAATGGGCTCTGTAACAACAGAGTCCAAAAGCCTCTCAGATGAGTCTAATATGAGATTCAGTGGAGAGATCTCAAATGTGTATTGATGGCCCAGAAAGGGCCAGCGTTGAAAGCAGAACCTAAAGTGGACACAGCTATAATGCACACGAATGAACAAGGTGCACACAGTTTCAGATGGAACGAAAGCACTCCAAGGCAGGCACATGAGTGCACACATTTTCAGACAGAACTAAAGAATTCTGTGGCAGCCGGGCGGTGGTGGCGCACACCTTTAATCCCAGCACTTGGGAGGCAGAGGCAGGCGGATCTCTGTGAGTTCGAGACCAGCCTGGTCTACAAGAGCTAGTTCCAGAACAGGCTCCAAAACCACAGAGAAACCCTGTCTTGAAAAACCAAAAAAAAAAAAAAATTCCGTGGCAAGGGTCTTGAGCTCCAACTAACATTGCTATATATAAGGGAAATCACATACCAGATCTTTTCATGTGACCTAAAAAATTAGAATCATTTTTTTCATAAAATTACTAAGCATTTAAGTGTTGGCTCAATTAAAAATGAACACTATATAGAATGAGCAAGCACATAATGAAACACACACTTTGAGTTTAGACTTCAGGCTCCATCCAGGCCACATCATTCCAGGTGAAAGGGATGTTTCCTAGTTATCCTCCTGGATATTGGAAATAGACAAGATTGCCAGGCAAAAATGGGGAGATTGGGGGTGGGGTGGGCTGGGAGTAAGGGGAGATGGGGAGAGAGAAGTGAGAAGGGGAGGATGAGGAGAGCTTGGGGGAATGGGACGGTTGGGATGGAGGAAGGGTGGATATGGGAACAGGGAAGTAGATATCTTAATTAAGGGAGCCATTTTAGGGTTGAAAAGAGTCTTGACTCTAGAGGGGTTCCCAGGTGTGCAAGGAGATGTCCCCAGTTTGTTCCTTGGGCTGCTGAGGAGAGGGTGCCTGAACTGGCCCTATCCTATAGCCACACTGATGAATATCTTGCATATCACCATAGAACCTTCATCTGGTGATGGATGGAGATAGATACAGAGACCCACATTGGAGCACTGGACTGAGATCCCAAGGTCTAAAGGAGGAGCAGAAGGAGGGAGAACATGAGCAAGGAAGTCACCCACTGAGATGGCGGGACTGATCTAATGGGAGCTCACCAAGGCCAGCTGGCCTAGGACTGATGGAGCATGTGATCTCGGAATGTGGCTGACAATGAGGGCTGACTGAGAAGCCAAGGACAATGGCACTGGGTTTTGATTCTACTGCATGTACTGGCTTTGTGGGAACCTAGTCTGTTTGGATGCTCACCTTCCTAGACGTGGATGGAGGCGGAGGCTGGAGGACCTTGGACTTCCCACAGGGCAGAGAACCCTGACTGCTCTTTGGACTGGAGAGGAAGGGGGAGGAGGAGGAAAATGGGAGGAGGTGGAAATTTTTAATAAAAAAAAAAAGTTTCAAAAAAGAAACCTCAGCACCATCCTCATCAACAGTATCACCATCATTCCAAAAATGATAACCACACCCAATGTGTTAACCACTGTGACCAGTTCTGCAAAGCATATCCTTAGTCTTTAGCATCCTTTGAGGGAGGTGCCATGATTAGTCCTACGTTCTGGTAACAACCCCTATCAAAGTCAAGTAGCTAGAAAATGATCACACCAAAATCCAAATGCAGAGAGTGTCTTAGTTTTAAATGTGCTTTTAACAGCTTGAAAGATAAAATGAAGTGAACAGCTAAAATTTTCTCAGCTCATCTGCAGTTATCAAGTATCTCTGACTCTACAACACAATTCTTGAACAAATAAACACTTGGGTGTTTACACCTATCAGTCACAAAGTCTCTAGCAAGAATGATGTGCTCTAAGGAGTTGAATGAATGCTCATGAGTCTTCTGAAAAGACACCGAAGGCACAGACTTAAGAAGTCATTTACTTGTTGCTGTAAAATGTTACTTCATGTAGCTCTCCAGGTGAGGAAGGACTCAGCTTTCTTTACAGGGCTGGCTACTGGGAGTTTGACGATGCTCCAATGAGTACATGGGCAACACAAATTGGACTTCTTTTTCATTTTCTTCTCATTTTTTTAGGGGGGGAAGGGGATACAGCAGGACATCACAAGGGTAAAGGGGTTGGCAGACCTGGGAGGACTAGGCAGTGAGTTTTCTCAGGGCTCATAATATACAATTTCCAAATAATCAATAAAAATATTATGAAAAATTCAGTATTTTACCTTTTGGAAGATGAGTAAAAGTGCTCAGAAATTCTTCATATGTTTGCTCAGGACAGTTAATAAACTTATCCAAGACTTCTTTCATTAACTGATCTTCATCCATTATCTCTGGTCTCGGTATTTGGGCAGGCATTCCTATTCACAGGCCACTCTACAAGACAAAGACAAACACAAGCTAGAGAGTAAGGCAGCTTCAGCAACACTGTGGAGAGGAATTCAGGGCCACAACAGGCAGGGGAATCGCTGCTGGAGCAGTGGACTCTGGTAAGAGCTGGAAGTTTCAGCACATTCTGGGCTGTGAACTGCTAACTACCTATTTTGATTTGGATTTTATTTTTCTCAGTATAAGTTTAAGTCACAGGAATAGTGTCACATAACTCAACAAGAAACTAAAAATCTTTCAATGTGAGAAGAGTCTCAGAGGACATCTACGGACCACCATCACCATCACCACTACCACCCCATGTAGTAGCAACAACTATTGGAGCTGGTATGATCAGGTGCTTCAGTGTTAGCTTCCACAAGCCCAGGTAAGTTCATAAAGCCAAACATTCCTGCCCAATCCCTGAACTCAAGCCCTTAAAACAACAAATCACACTTCGCTCTATCTACTGTGAGCACAGAAGTACTATAACTAGCAAGAAGTGGCCCTGCTGTATCTTAGCACATGCAGGTCTTAGAATCCTGACATTCCACTAAAACCATTGGCAGTCCTACTAAAAATCCTAAAAATAAACTTAAGTCTGTCTCCCTAACCTACCCCAAGTGGTCCTTGAGCCCATGAAGGAGTACTGAATAATTTTAACCCCTTTAGTATCTGACATCCTTGAACAAGGACACACTGAACCATCTTAATCTTCTCATTATATTTGTTGGAACACATTTATTTTCCAAAACTGAGTTCAGAGTTGAGGTTCTCCAAGCCACCCACACACAGAGACCACTCTCTACCATGGGAAGAGCTGGCTGTAACTTCTCATGCCACCTGTACTGTGTACTTAGGACATTCTCTATAGAGAGTTATATGTATTTCTTCGTCTGCTTCTATACTCACAATCAAAAAGACCGACTCCATCTTCTCATACTTGTATCCCAAATACTTAAGACCTTGGGGTGTGGTGTAGAGCTGGTAGCCTAATGTTGAGCTAAAGATGCTCGTTTGAACAGGTACAATGGTCAAAATGTCACTAGACTTGACAAATCAGCTGAACTTGGCCAATGACTTTACCTGTCCTTGGAACCCTATCAAGCCCTCAGTCAATGGACTGGGAAAGATTTGATACCACATCACCTGTAAGTGTGTAATTGATAGCACATTCACAGTATGACAAACTGGAGCTGAGACTCCGACATGGTCTGGGTGTGGACTAAATCTATTCAACTGAACATCACACTCACAACACCACGGGCCCTTCACACAGAACTCATTTCTTCATGCGCTAACTGTCTCATTCTTTGCAGTTTGAACTTAGTCTTCATTCATGATATCATATCTGGTTGAATTCCATTCATTCTGTATAAAACATTATTTTATAAAGCCTTGGGAAAAATGATTATCTACATTAAGGAGAAGAAGAAGAAACACTGCCAAAGTAATACATGCAGAATAATAAAAAGGGGATAAGGGACCACTACACTATATGGTAAGAAATTATTGCACCAAGTTTCTTTTTATTTTTCTGGAACTGGGGAGAGAGCTCCATAGTGGTGCTCTTACAGAGGACCAGAGTTCAGTTCCCAGAAGCACATCTGGAGGCACACAACTGTCTGTAACTCCAGCTCCAGGAGGATCTGACTCCTCTGGCCTCTACAGGCACACACACACACACACACACACACACACACACATACACACACACGCATACACACATACACACAAACACACATACACAAATACACATGCATACACACATACACACACAATTAAAAATAATAGAAATCCATCTTTTAAATGATCATCTTTCATTTAAAAAGGAATAAAAATCTGGTCGCTGTTACTAACTTTTAGATGTCCTTTACTACAGCTATCCTAACCCTTTACATTACAAACAACACAGGAATGTCTAAGGTACAGAGCATTAAAGGTGCTAATTAGTCCCTGACCCCACAAATCCCACCTGCAAACTCTGTCAGAAGTCTAGTAAATATATTTCTAAACCTGTCTCTACGTTTATGATTACAGACATTTTTACAAAAACAGGAAAATAATAAGCTATTCTCTACAAATAGATTTGTGTGTGTGTGTGTGTATAATAACATAATCAGATCCATGGCATCCCACCACTTAGGAATTAGAAATCTAGCCTGATCTTTCAAACAGCTTCACAGTCACAGTCCTTGTATGTAAATTTAGGAAAGTTACTTGATATCTCTAGACCTATTTCCTCTTCTCCTGGAAGGGGCACTGTAATGGCTCAGCCTTGTTTCCTAAACTTCAGTTTTGATATTAAATACTAAGGAGGTAAAAGTGCTTTCTGAAGATGATGTTCAAACTCATTTACTGACAAGACCTGACCTGAATTAACATGCAAGTATCTCTGCTTCTTATTTTTTCTACCCAGTGTGACTCATCACATTTTCAAAACAACACAAAACTGCCTTCTCAGCCCACCTGGAGATTGGTACAATGCATGTCATATGTACCACCTACCTTACTAAAATCCAAAGTATTCTGAAACATATGTGACCTACGGGTTTTACAGAGCCATGAAGCTCTATTAAGCTCACAAGACTGTTCTACGAATGAAATGGTGTCCACCTTAGGGAACGCAGCCTTCCTCATGATAATGAAGAAGACGATGGCAGAGAATCACTTTGATTGTGAACAGTCTGATGCTTTGAAGGCACTGATGGTAGTACAAGATAACACCTCGTACATTCCAGTCTCACATGAAGCATGATGCCAGAGGACTAAATGAAAACAATAGTCCGGGTAGCAACTTCAAATTAAAGGCACCATTTCAAGCTACTTATACCTGAAGATTGGATACCTAAAATGTCACCACTTACAACAAATCTATCTATAGCAATGTGCAGCCTTCAGCAATGGAAAGCTTATTAAGGTATGCTTGTAGCTGACAGATAATAAATACCAACCAAGAACCTCACCAGTGACTACCATTTCCCTATCAGCAGGACATACATGAAAACACAACAATCTCAACATCTGCCTACTTTCCCAGAATTGGAGCAAGCATAATACCAATAATCCAGTCCTCAAAGCATTCAGCTGGCCTACTTCAGTGCATCAAAAATGGCCAAGTTGTGGTTTCTACCACCGCAAATGTCTTCTCAAACTTAAGTTTATTTAAAAAAAAAACAGTCACAGAAATTTCTTTAGGTCTCCTTTCCAAATTTCCAATTGGTATATTTTGATTATTTACTCTCAATATAGCTCAGTACTATCAAAGGCAAATGGCGAACAGGCTATATACAGCACAGCACTGAAGGGAAAAAAAATCCTTCAAGCTTCTCATTTCATTTCTGTGTTTGTAACAATCCAGGCATTTGGGCTTTTTTAAGACTTTCACAAACTGTCAACTGTTGAAGAATTTAACGAGTACCCATCATCCAATTTAGACCTTTCATTACCTAGAAAAGCATTAGGAGCCCAATGTTAAAGGTCCCCGGAGACTGACAAAGCAGATCCCCCTTTCGCAGACAGCCTGGTGGTTTATGCAAATGCCAGTGGTTTTCTAGATGGAAGCATGCTTTTCATTTACCACCCACATACTAGTGTGTCTTTATCATGAAACAGTTTTCTAAAAGAAAAAAAGAGAAAGAGAGGCTTGCCTAGATAACAAGATTCATATTTTTTGGCTTGGTTTTGTTTTATGCTTTGAGCACCACATGAAAGGCGTAGAACATAATGGTAAGTAAAGGTATATAAATAGCTACTGGTAAATCATAAAAACCCTTTCACCATCCGAGCCTTGGAAAGGAAATAGAGAACATTCACTGCTCTGCCCTGACTACTAAAATCACTTGGAAATCAGGTGCTTAGGAATTGGCTAGCTTTTCCCCTTGGCTTGGTCTGAGAGACAGGAGAGGAAAATCCCATCACCTCCCAGAGGTAATGTTGTGTATTATCAAGTAATAAAGCCAACAATCATATAAGCAGAGTGCTGTGTGCACTAAAATGTCTGCTACAATGAAGTGTGGAATGTGATGTCATCACCATCAACAGCACAACTTCGCGATCTTCTGATCTTCATATAATGAACTCACCCAATAAAATGCAACTGTCCCAGACAAGAGCGGTAAGTCTTAAGACACAGGCCCCTGTGGACTAATCTTCTTCCATGGTGCACTGCCTGATTTTCTAACAACACAGAGGATTATATGTCTGTAAAAATGTTTTTAAAAATGTGATATGTCAAGCCGGGCGATGGTGGCGCACGCCTTTAATCCCAGCACTCGGGAGGCAGAGGCAGGTGGATCTCTGTGAGTTCGAGACCAGCCTGGTCTACAGAGCTAGTTCCAGGATAGGCTCCAAAGTCACAGAGAAACCCTGTCTCGAAAAACCAAAAAAAAAAAAAAAAGTGATATGTCCCATTGCAACTTGAAAACAATAATAAACTTCTAAGGAGCGGTACTGGCTTTCTCAGAGCCCACCTTCTGCACATTACAGTTCTGGGAAGTAAAACTTCACTGAAGGAGATGAAGGAGGACAGGAGGACACACCAGCAATGTAATTTATTTTACCTAAGGAAACAGCAATCAGCCTCGGTATGTCACAGGTTGGCTGTCCTTTTGTGGTGATATAAACAGTCAAGTCTCCGAAAGACTGAACTGTACTACAAGCAGGTTATTGTGACTGGTTCATAAGGTAGGGAAGAGCAAGTGTGAAGAGCTGGCCTCCTGGACTCAACTACAACCACGCAGCACTTGCCCACTAAGACTTCCCAGAGTCTTTTACACCATACCAAGAAGAGGGAAAGAAACTCAGCTTCTCTGGGCTGGAGTGGTGGCTCCACCCAGGCTCCAGAAGACCTGAGTTCATTTCCCATATATTAGGCAACTCACACACACCTGCAACTCCAATCCCAAAGGATCCAAAACCCTCCTCCAGCCTCCTTGGGCACTGGAATCACAAACACTATTTTAAAGTTTTGTTTTTTTTTTAAGAATTTTAGATTTTCAGAGTTGATT